TGTTTATATTATACCCTCGTTACGTCGATGTCTATGTATGTTTATATCATAACCTCGTTACGTCGATGTCTGTGTATGTTTATATTATACCCTCGTTACGTCGATGTCTATGTATGTTTATATCATAACCTCGTTACGTCGATGTCTGTGTATGTTTATATTATAACCTCGTTACGTCGATGTCTGTGTATGTTTATATCATAACCTCGTTACGTCGATGTCTGTGTATGTTTATATTATAACCTCGTTACGTCGATGTCTGTGTATGTTTATATTATACCCTCGTTACGTCGATGTCTGTGTATGTTTATATCATAACCTCGTTACGTCGATGTCTGTGTATGTTTATATTATACCCTCGTTACGTCGATGTCTGTATGTTTATATCATAACCTCGTTACGTCGATGTCTGTGTATGTTTATATTATAACCTCGTTACGTCGATGTCTATGTATGTTTATATCATAACCTCGTTACGTCGATGTCTGTGTATGTTTACATTATAACCTCGTTACGTCGATGTCAGCTTAAGATTACAGCTTTGATGTGTTGTATTTGAGCGTTAAAATAAAGTTACACTTACAACCAATTTAACCAAAGTTACAATTTTCAAACTGCAGTTGAAATATTCTTTAAAATATAACCCTTATCGAAAGCTCTCTAATCGTAACATCAAAAGCATTTGCTCCGCTGTGGTGCTAATTGATCATGCATTTCATTACACAAGGCAGACTCATACTTTGTGCAATTTTACACGTGAACAATTACCAGCGTCCCGACTTGGCAATTTGTTCTGTGTCAAACATGCCTTTGCTCTATCAGCTGTCTGCTTGAAGGGCGAACATGTTGATATCGTCATCTGTTTGACCTTGGAAGGAGGTTTTCAATGGTTGCTGTTTTGTTTTTGCTACTTGTGTATTTATTTATTCCAATGTGTTTATGTAGATGACAATCGTGATATTTTATGACAGATATTCATCAGTTTTGATATTTTTGGCGCTGAAAATAATCAATATTTTATCATGCTTTACAGCCGTTTTGACTACTCTAACGTAACAAAGAATAACATGTGTCATGTTCAGATGGAATCTCGACAAATTTACATGATTAACACACTAATGTCACTTTAAAGAATTCACGGCAGATTACAGGTGTGGACCGAAATATCTAATACAGGCAAACGAAAGGAAGTAATAAGATTCATAGTTAGGATGTTTATAAAACATACATGCATAACACAGGTATTTGTGGTACAGATAGAGGTACAACATATATTACAATTACGGTCTCTCCTCTCATTGAGTACGGTATATCTATACAGTCTCTCCTCCTCTCATTGAGTACGGTATATCTATACAGTCTCTCCTCTCATTGAGTACGGTATATCTATACAGTCTCTCCTCTCATTGAGTACGGTATATCTATACAGTCTCTCCTCTCATTGAGTACGGTATATCTATACAGACTCTCCTCTCATTGAGTACGGTATATCTATACAGTCTCTCCTCTCATTGAGTACGGTATATCTATACAGTCTCTCCTCTCATTGAGTACGGTATATCTATACAGTCTCTCCTCTCATTGAGTACGGTATATCTATACAGTCTCACCTCTTATTGAGTACGTATATCTATACAGTCTCTCCTCTCATTGAGTACGGTATATCTATACAATCTCTCCTCTCATTGAGTACGTATATCTATACAGTCTCTCCTCTTATTGAGTACGGTATATCTATACAGTATATCCTCTCATTGAGTACGGTATATCTATACAGTCTCTCCTCTCATTGAGTACGGTATATCTATACAGTCTCTCCTCCTCTCATTGAGTACGGTATATCTATACAGTCTCTCCTCTCATTGAGTACGGTATATCTATACAGTCTCTCCTCTCATTGAGTACGGTATATCTATACAGTCTCTCCTCTCATTGAGTACGGTATATCTATACAGTCTCTCCTCTCATTGAGTACGGTATATCTATACAATCTCTCCTCCCCTTATTGAGTATGATTATAATTATAATTTCTATGATCTTATGTTAAGACCCACGGCGTCAATGACGACCTACTGAGCCTTTACACAAACACGAATAAACCAACACCAATTTCTATAAAATATCATTATATTATATGTGTGCTGCATTTAAATGAGAAAGTGTTTTGTCACCAGTCAGTGTGGGTAGGATATACACTCCTCATACAAAAAGTCTAATTCAAAAGGGTATAAAGATCCAGAATAAGCCAGTGTTGTAGAAATTACACCCCTTCCCCCTCAAACTTGTATTACACAACTACACTTACTCAGATTTTCATCATACATTTGTTCATGCTGATTCCTAGCTGTTAAATTTCTCTCTTCAAATGTAATTCAAATAAACTTCGTGTCTTGTTATACTGTCTTACGACAGTACGTAGCATTGCACATAAGGGGAAGCGTTATTAACACGTGACATCCTGGGCTCTTTTTCGCCATGTTGATCAGGGTTGGACTGGTGACACAGGAGGTAATTAAAATTGCACGGCAGAAAATAAAGCACCACATAAAAAGTGAAATATGTAGATATTGCTATGTAGGTACACTGCCAGGAGGGTACAGAAAATAAATGACAAATGTTTCATGTGTAACATATTTTATCAGTCTCCGTGAGGATAACAACTTGGCAATTTTGGTTTGTGTTGACGTTGTCACAATCGTACATGAAGTTTTATTCAGGAAACTCACAGGAAAATGATTTTCAAATGTTGACATTAATAGTAAAAAATGTTCGTTTCGAATTTTAGCTTTTCTTGTGCGAACTTGTTTCCCTAATTCCATTATTAAGTTGTGCTATTCAAGGCCATGTAGTCTGAAAGTCATAGTATCAATGATTCGTTGATGTTTCAAGGTTGTCACACGGACCGAGTTAGCTGTCGGGTTTCATGCGACATGCGAGTCTAATTGCGGTATTCCGTTGTATAACGTCTTGTCACTGTACACCGTCAGCACATGCCAATTGCAGTATGATGGCAAACCTTGGAATTAAAAAACGTTAAACTAGTTTTGTCCGTCAGGAGACTGTCACTTAACACTAAGACGTCAGGCAAAGCTAACGACCCTAACGATCCGGCCGGCCAAAGACTGCGGCATATTGATACTAAGAGAATATTTAACAGCTGGTATAACAAACGCTATCATACAGGTTCCCCCAAGGTTGTTAGTCTTTGGAAAATCTATAACACGACGAAAATGTTCAAGACATTGTTTATTGTATCGTCTGGATGGTTAACTATGGCGTGAATCAGTTTAGTATCTTCGTCCTCAGTAAACAGACACCAAAGTCACCTTTTACTCAGGCACGAAGGAATTGTTACCAACTTGTCTGATAAAGGGTTCTGACCACCATTTTTCATAATGTCATATTTCAGTCTAAAAATGATACACTTTTGTATATGGGCCGCGGTATCCTGTCTTTCCCAGCAAACAGACGACAACTGAAGCTGGTACCGCCCTGCTCAATATAGCAACCCGAGAACAAGTCACAGGTCCCATTTATCACACGATGGATGATATTGGCAAATAAACGTTGTTTCTGTGTCAAACATGAAATTTGTTTGGCTTCATATCTATAGCTGTTACATTGAAATGTTATTTTGTTTTCTGTTGTGGGTGTTAAAGTAAATTCCTTTAGCATGAAACCGTTTATTGAATAAAACGTCACTGATTTAAAAATAAATCATCACAACATTATGTAACACGTACCTGTTTACGAACAGGTGTCACTAGAATAGAGGAGCTCGTCATTTACTCTGTGCTGATTTTCTCTGACAAATATTTTGATGCTATTTGCTGTTTACGTGTTTACGATATCTCGGTCATGCTTCTATGAGTTTGTATGACCATGTTTTATAGTGTAAATGATAAGTGATATTTACTCACGTTTGTCTTATCTATACTTATCAATTTCTGGTTCTCAAGCTCTTCATCAAGCTCATAAAAGTCCCTAGACTGAAAAGGCCAGTTTTATCACAAACCAGCAATGTAAGAATGTTTTACTTGTAAATGATTGTTTTAATAACTATATTTACATATATCAAGACACGTTAATTCAATTGAAATTTATTCCCTATACACAATCTACGTATAATGGTATATGTATGTACCTGTGTATAATGGCGTCTCCTTTCCTGTGTATAATGACGTCTCACTACATGTGTATAATGACCCCTCATTACCTGTGTATAATAACCCCTCATTACCTTTGTATAATGATCCCTCATTACCTGTGTATGATGTCGCCTCACTACCTGTTTATAATGACCCCTCACTACCTGTGTATAATGACCCCTCACCTTTAGATAATGACAGTGTCCTTGACCGCATGTATCCTGATTCATCAGCCATGCTACTGTACCAAGTCACGAGGCCTGATTGACAATATATCTACAACATAGTATACAGTTATTGGAAATTGACGTATCTTTATTAACACAATAAAGATGGAATACCCCGACTTATGAAGATATTTTTTCTTTAAATGCCGTATAAGTTTGAAGATATTATTTTTCACCGATTTTGATATACCTAATATGGGTCAGTTATGGCCTTTACCAGCGTTTCATTTAGAACTTCGGTACGTTAACTATTGCGTAGGCGCGTCTGATGATTAATATAACGGCTATTCTTAATTGACAACACCTTGAATGTGAAGACAACATGTATGCATATTGAAGTAACATGGAGCTGTACCTTGGAGACAAACATATGCACGTGCCACGTGATCAGTTGGGACGAGCATTCCTCGTATACCATTAAACAATGACAGATCGCAAATTTTACAATTCAAATCAACACACTTTAAATGTCAGAATGTAATTATCTCCCAGTGTAACACATAACTTGCTAGGTAACCTAATCACGTACACACCGTGTGTGCCCCACAATTTGTATAATTAGTCTCCGTCTTGGCAGCGCTTTATGATACACTGCTAATAAGTTTGGACTCTCGTTTCAGATACAGTGGAATATTGAGAGGATGTCCTCTGATTCTGGGTCATATTGAAGCTTGACGACACGTGACCAGTTCGGAATTAAACTAAGATATGATGGTAAGTAAGAAAATTTACTTTAGGTATTGTTAATTCTGTTTTTCAAAAGCTACACTTTAAAGTTGGCCTCTGCCACAGACGGACCATTTGTGGTGTTTTACTCCGCATTGCGGACTAATCTCAAGAATTTAGATAGCCTTGTCCCTCGTCAAGTGTCTCCTGTGTGTATGGGATCGAGCCTTACAGCGTACTTCCTATGAAAAGGGCTTAGAAAGACATCGTACATTTGTTCGTGACGAAATGATCTCTTGTCGCTCTGGATACTTCAGCCCATGTATAATTGTATCCGTATCGTTAATTGTAGTTCATTTTTTTCATTTTTTTTTATTCATCATCATCATCATCATCATCATCACCACTGAATCCATACATCATGATTTATCATCCTAACCAAATGCCTAAAACTACATGATGTAAATTAAAGATCTGTCATCAACTTAGATATCTTTCACATAAACAAAATGAACTTATGAACGTGTTCTCCATTCATTCACTTACTTTCACATCAATACACATCCCTCGTCCACAATTTTGTAAGTATATCAGTGCCTGGATAGGCAAGAGAAATCTTACAGACTTAAATCTGAGAGAGAGAGAGAGAGAGAGAGAGAGAGAGAGAGAGAGAGAGAGAGAGAGAGAGAGAGAGAGAGGAGAGAGAGAGAGAGAGTGAGAGAGAGAGAGAGAGAGAGAGAGAGTGAGAGAGAGAGAGAGAGAGAGAGAGAGAGAGAGAGAGAGAGAGAGAGAGAGAGAGAGAGAGAGAGAGAGAGAGAGAGAGAGAGAGAGAGAGAGAGAGAGAGAGATACAACAGAAATATTTATAATACATTTAGTTGAATCAGCTAAGTCAAGACTATACAATTAGGATAATTACAAAACATAACATACAAAATAAGAACAATAGAACCATCCTATGAATCTAGAAAAGGTTTCCATTTTCTCCAGTTTAAACCTAAATACCTCTCGATTTGTTTGCTTTCATTACTAATGTTTTTGTACCAAAAATTATGTTTGAGGGCATGAATGAGGGCATTCAAGGATTTGTTAAGACATCTAAATTTTATAAATGTAGTGCTTGATAATGATTAAGATTTAATTATCCACATAGCTACAACGGTATGAGACTATTCCAACAATAGAGGAATCCTTGTTATAGGCAAATATAATTTTTAAAAACTCCAACAAGTTTTCAGATCTCAGAAATGCTGGGACCTCTGTACATAGACAATGGACCATGGTTTCATTTTCCACATTACAGAATGTACATAGTGGGTTGGGATGTAGTGTTACTTTATATAGAAATGTGTCGGTATCCAGTATGTGATGTAAGATTCTAACTTCGAAACACTATAACATTTTGGTTACTGTAAAAGGTGGTTTACATATTTTTGACCACTTTTCCATATCAATATCAAACTCCTGGTTCTATTTACTTGGTCCAATAGGTATTAACACTGGTGTAATAATTCTGTTATAAAAATCTTTGGAATATCTTTCTATTCTTGAATTTTTTTTAAAAAAAAAATAACCGATCTAATTAATTGTGGAGGTCTTTCTAAATGAAACTCTAATTTTCTTTTAAAAAGCTTCAGTGATGTCACTAGTCCATGTAGAGAGTTAGTGTTAATTTGAAAATGATGCAGAAACTCAACAAGGATATAAAAGTGTTTTTTTTTTTTTTAAATTAAGTAATTCAATGTAAAAACTCCATCCCTAAACCAGTTCAGATAAAAACAAAGTTCCTGTTACCTTGGATATCTTGGATATATATCAAGGAGGAGTTTTCAGGATAGAACTTTGTAGAACAATTCTCATAGATTCAGAGCTGTTCAGGATACTCCAAGCTTTAAATAAATCTTTCCTAAATAAATTGCGACAGTTCATTCCACAGAAATTTATATATTCATTCCCACAGTGAAACATCTTATTAAAATCGATTGTTGACTGAAGAATCAGATGCAGTTTACCTGATGACTGAGCTGTTCTTCTCATCCAACCCAGCTTAAGTGACTGAATGATTGTAAATCAATCATTTTTAGACCACCATCTATGTAGTCCGGCCACGCTGTGTTTTATTTTATCGCGAAATTTTGAGATAGCAACTCTTGAATTCTAGGTATAGTTTTGCAAATGAAGTCTCTTTTCTCTAATCAAAAGAGATTTCACTATTCTCTAATTTGAAGAAATAAGAAGTTGTTTTTTTTCCCCACCTCAAACACTTAATCTTTTTTCAAGCGAATAGACTCCAGATCTTTTTAATTCCCTGTTAATGGCCCTGGTCTGTGTTAACTTCAGCCTCCAATAATGCAAAATAATTTCATAAAAGAAGCATAAGATATTGTTTTATCCCTAATCTTCATTAACAAATTTTCTAGGAGTAGCTGGTCATTTATTTTGTAGTTCATAATTTTTTCCAGATTCAGATTCATAATTTGCTATACTTTTACAACTTATCACCATAAAACAAGACAGGGTCCATTACTTACACTGACAAACACATCGACGTTCATCAACTGTCTTACACACATACATTTTCTTCACTTCTTCACTCTAAATCCAACTAAAAACCACCACAGTCTTGTTAGTATATTCTTGTTTACCTCCCTCTAACGTCACCAGATTACGTTCTAATTCTGTAATTCGAAACTCTATCTTGTTACCTGATAACATATTACAATCAGGTCTGTATGTTTTCGATTTCATTGCTGTTTAAGGTATTTTGCAGTATGCATCGCATTTATGATGTAATTTACATGTTTGTCATGGAGCAACAAACATTTACACGAAACTTGTTTAGAATGTTGCATTTTTTATCGGTAGATGAATCTTTGCAAATAAAATGATGTCTTCCTTGTGCTGCACTGTGAAAATTATACGCTTCTCTCGAGCTGGCTCAGAGATCCGTACCCGGATGACGAGAAATCAATTTACTTCAAATATCAGAATCGTTATTGCAAAGTAACATATGATGTCGGTAAACATAGTCTAACACCTAAAGTCCCAATTTATTAATGTTTTACAGTATACTTTTGTTACTGTAGTGTATTTTTAAGACACGAATGAAACGAATTGTAAATTACACATGTACTAACAAATGAAAGATAAAGCCAGACCCATATCAATACACAATGGGAATAAGACCAGATGTTCCGGAGAAATAAGTGCATTCCGCTTCATCGACGACAAATCTTGGTCATCACAACTTCATTTGTTTGCTTGTTTTTCATCTTAAACATTTGTGAAATTTTCCTAGAATGACAATACAAAGTCAAAGTGACGGAATTAATGTTTGTATACAACATTTGGTAGATCGATGTCTGTAACATAACGAATTTTGGGTCCGAATCAACGGGTAGGAATGGTCCCGACCAAAGCCGTCTTGTATGAACTGAATTCTGATCAAGTTGTAACGACACTATTTGCTATATATATCGTAGGTAATTTTTTTTTTCAATTTTTGTGATGGCGATAGATGAAGTAAGATATGGTAACTACCCTGACCAGGATAACCAATAATGAGCTCCGGTATCAACCAGTGTCACTTTGAGACGTGGACTCCTTGTAGTATCTGGTCACTACGTCACTGATTAGCATGGACTTCATTAACATATAAAATGAAATTCTGATGTCATTGTTCCTGCTATGTGTCTCAAGAAAGAGAAGCCAACGGCTGACCTTGGCGTCCAAACGTCAACAGCCTCCTCCACTTCTTGTCCCTTTTTCTGATTTTTTAATTTTAATAAAACTCTTCCAAACAATATACATTTTATTTAGTATAACTTATAACAGAATCAAAGTTAAACACAGGAAATTTTCATGTAAAATTTGAGACACATCCCTTAAGTACCTTCCTAAAGAAGTAACCACTTGGTTTGAAGAAACCATACTGAATATGTTTATAAGTGGTCCACTGAGAAGTTCTTCAGAAATAAAGCAGTAGAACTTTTGCACCTCCCCCGCAGATCATTCAAGCAATCACTGAATATATCAGGTCCGGGCCAGAGCCATGTACAGTATGTATACGTGTAGCATATGTTTAAAAATTGCCGTTTGATTAGACATAGAGATTCCTGCATTTTTACATGTTCAATCTGTCCTGTCACCGGCGTTTAGTTTTACCTGACTGTACTGGCGCGCTACCAGGTGATGTGAGGTATATATTGTCGGTATGTACCGCCTGCACATTTGTCACCTCTAGTAGCTGCTCACCTGTATTACAGGTGTCAACGCCCGTGTCCTTTACAATACCTACATGTTAAATTGTTTACGTAGCTTTATCATTAAAAGCGCCCATCCTTACAACGAGTTAATGCCTTCCCTATTTAACCACTGCTATGTAATTGATACTTGTTTACTTAGATATATTACAGAATCCCCGTTTCTCGGGTGCTACAACAGGAACTATTCATTCTATCCGATATGTACCTGTTTACTATTCACAGTATCAACGGTCTACAATTTCTCACGCTTTCTTATTTTGTAATGTTTGTGATACAAATTATCAGAAGACAGTGAAGTCAAATTGATGTCTCAAGTATATATAACTTTAGAGTGATGTGACTATATTCATCGAAGCGAATGACTGTTACAACTTCAAAACGACTGTAAGGAAAGTGACATCCGTCCGACCGTCCCAGCGACCATAACTAAAGCTGAAACGTCCCTACTATCGACTGTGATGATAGTTTCAAATTGCCCGTCCTGGTAAATGATATCTTTTCTAAAGCTGTAGCGTCCGTCCTAGCGACTGTGGCGATAGCTGTAGCGTCCGCCTAGCGACCGTGACGATAGCTGTAGTGTCCGCCTAGCGACCGTGACGATAGCTGTAGTGTCCGCTTAGCGACCGTGACGATAGCTGTAGTGTCCGCCTAGCGACTGTGACGATAGCTGTGGCGTCCGTCCTAGCGACTGTGACGATAGCTGTGGCGTCCGTCCTAGCGACTGTAACTGTAGTAGATATATGTGAGTAAAGGTCTAATCTGAGTCGTTAATTGAAATATGAAGTTTTTTTTTTATAGAAAACAATTATAGATTGTTTTTACAATTTATAGTGTAACCGGGAATGTCCTTGACTAGGACCTTTTTTGGTGTTTTGACTGTTTCAACCTGACAGATATGTTAACTGTTATAAATAACCTATATTTTTAGCTAGCCAATGACATTCTTTGATCTTTGTATTTTGTTTTCCGCAGACGAGTACCGGTATTGCTTCCGTTTGACGGTTCACGCGATGGACGCGGAGGAGTTAGACGAATTATCTGACGTCCACACTAAGGTTCAAAGAAGCTTCGTCTCCAAATTATCTCTCCACAGACAACATGGCGGGACATTGCCAACCATTCATTCTAACACAGGGCTTCCACCCTCTACCTTTGGCAGACAAACCTCTCAGAGATCGTCTTTATCTTCCTTGTCGACTGATTCCGGATTTCCAATGTCGTGTGGTTCCCCCTCCCCTTCCATAGACGTTGTCTCTTTTGATGATATTGACAAAACTTCTCTACGACCGTCGAATTCTGTGACGTCACCAACATCACCAAAACGAGTGACGTCATACAAAAATTTGTCATCATCAAAACGTTTTGTATCGGTCTTCACTTTAAATTGTAAGCCTAGTGCGGACGATTCCAATGTTGGCCAACTTCTTACAAATGATCAAAAGCCCAAATCTCTTTCGATGTCGAACTTGGTCTCATCAAAGTTTGCGCTTCACCCACAGGAATTTGACAGTCAGCCTGATGTATCTCTGAATTATGATGATGAACAAAACCCCATTAAGCAAAAATATTCGAATGGTTCTTGTTCTAGCCATAATGAAAAAGAACGAAATGTTGTAGGTTCAGTAAGCATGACAAATAAAGACGACCGTGATTCTAACAATATCAGACAGAGTGAGCAGTCTGGAACGTGTAATTCGGAATACCCCCTCCAAACTTCATCTCCTCGAGTGTGTCGATTGTCTCGTCCTGTAAAGTTTCCCGCGGACTTTCGGAAGTCCTTTGCCTCCTCTCGTCCTGACGCATCAGATAGTTCCCAGCCTCGTAACCGCGATACTAAGACCGCGCAACTTATTGCCAAGAATGTGGTTGATTTAAATCAAGACAATCACTCCCACATTGACAGTGTGAAACTCCGTACCACTGAACACCATAATTTACTAGGATCTTTAGACGTCTCTTGTCGTCCGGACAGAACATTCACTGACTCCAAAGTTCATGATGCTGGACATTTAAAAACCGCTAGTAATGGATATCGTCAAGTTCGACACAAGAGTACTGGTAACCAGCCAGCGTACCATACACGACTACCATTTACCATTTCCAAACTTGAGGACACAACGAATACTGTGAGGAAAAGGATTCCACCTGGGATGGTTGCAGACATGAGACAAGTGTTCTCAAAACCAATTAAAAGGCGACAAACCATGCCGACTTTATCGAATTTAAAAAACTATGATAGTTCTTCACGAAAGTTCAATATCCCATCAGTGTCAAATAATGGCGTGAATACAACAGACGAATTAACTTTAACCGGAAGTTCTCCGGAAAGAATCGAATCTAAAGCGGAAACTACCTATCGTTGTTATTGCAGTGGTGATTCTAGTCCAGCAGGAAAGGATGACATTTTTCCAAAACGATTTAACGCTGATGAGAATAAGACGAGAACTGAGTTAGAAACACCAGAATCAAATGAATATGTTCAGAGTGTTTGTTTAATGAATAAAAACGACGACGGAAAAGACGATAACATTTCTGATGATAGTGAACACATGGAATATGATAGTGATGTTAATTCATCAGAGTTGAACTTTTACGTCGTAAATGGTAGCACATTGAACGGAGGTGACGAAGAAACTGTTGGTTCCGACGATGTTTGGGATGAAAGTTCAGACAACCCTGATGATGAAGATGAATATAATGTTTGTGCCAGTAAAGATGATATCACGTTCAACGCCAGACCATCAATCGATCCCCCCGCTACACTGAATACTCCATCCTACATCGACAATATCTTAAAGCTCAGCAGAACGTCTCTAAATTATGACGACACAGACTCAAAGAAAACTCAAACTAAAAACACAGTAGATATGAATTGGAAAAATAACGATTCCTTAGAAAGCATGCACAGATACAGTGAAAGATCGTTTGACAGAGTAGAAATATCCGATGAGAGCAAGGACATGGTAAACGACGAGGTCGTTACGTCACACAGCGAACCAGTCATTGTACCTCGTAGAAAGGTAAATATGTATTCTGTGATTAACGAATTTAAGGATAATGACACACAACAACGTCAATCAAGTTCGTGCACGTGTATAGATTTACACACGCACGTGGCATCACATGAGGATGATAAAACCAATACACAAACGAAGGGTGTGGACATATCGCGAGACGACAGGAACGCAATACACAATGATAGAACAGCCTATTTACATACCATACCTAATACAGGTGATACCGTGGGTAAAGGTAACACTCGTTTGAAGACTGACAAGAAAAATGAACAAAGACAAGAGAAAAGTGGGATAAAGTGTTCCAGAGTCAAGGTTTTACCTGTGGCTATTGAAAATAAATGCACTGATGGAGATTCGTCCATTAATAACACGCCAACAAGGTCCTATGTCACCTTTGATAAACCGCGAACAGACGATGAATTCACTGAAGCGTGGCCGACTCCAGGCAAAAGGGATAAACCTGAAGATGATCACGTGTCCTTAGCGAATAATACACCGCCACAGGTAGAAACAAAACAGTGTCGAACTTCCACAGTGGTCGTACCAGAAGGAATCTCCTCGTCAAATTCTCTGGATTATAGCGGTAAATATTCAGAAAGGATAGACAATATGCCTGAAAGATCGGCAGGACCTAATAACAACTTTTCTGAAATTTCAGAATATACTGGAGGAAAGAAAGTTACAACAAAAATGTCAACAACAGACGTAAATATGAACGAAACGTCTGAGGAGGCAAAACAAACATTGGCCATTCTGGCCGAGGCTATGTCGAAACTTAATGGTGATAATAACGACGATATTCTACCCGAGATCAAACAATCTGTCGCCAAACTAGATGGAGGTAACCTAGTTGTAACGACATTGACCCGTAAAATCATCGAGGAGGAGGAGGAATCAGGTCGCGGGACGCCCCTTCCGGATTACAATGATGTGTTTTACGTCAGGGACCATAAGGGTAATGTGTACATGGTGGAGGATTTGACAGAGGACTCACAGGAAAGTGCCTATTACAGTTCATCAAATGTCAGCCAGGAAAACGATTACAATAGAATACACAACTTGCGGTCAATTGGCAGGACCAGCATTGACCACTCTACGGCCGAGGAGGTTCTTTTAGGGCTTTATAACCAAGGACGAAGCACGGTCCAAATCGAGGAGATTGACGAGAACGAAAAACAATTGGTTGTACATAAAGGTAAGGAGGCAGCTAGTTTACAGAACCAATTCTCAACCGATAGCTCTTTTAACAAGCAAGCTTCTAAGTATGAATACGATATGTGTAATGGTGGTCAACAACTTCCGGTCCAGGGAGGGCCAAGATCCACCTCCAAAATAAAAACTATCAAACAGTGTTACGAGATGACCTCAGATGGCAGGAACAACAAAGATGGGCAACCGAATGAGGAGGACATTAAAATGGAGACGGAGGAAACCTCTACGATCAAGAATATGGATAGTTCTGGGTGTAAAACCATGTCATCCAGCTTCCGGTATCAGACCGATGCCAGTCTGGTACCCCAAGTCGCACAGGAAGTCCAAGCTGTGATTCCAGCTCCAATGATTCTGCCTCCGGTTCAACCCAAGTTGGTACAACTCGATATGACGCCGGTATTTCCGGTCAGACAGGAACTGCCGTTGATGACCACAGTTCCAGTAACCACAACCAAAGTGACCGAAAGCACCAGTGATAAGATCGTCACCAGCACCGTGAATGACGATGCTAAAATGAAGCTTTCAGAGCACGGAAGACCCGTGTACAAATCTGTAGCTCTCGTGAAGGGACCGTACGAAGCTCCAAAATGGCAAGTGACGAAAACTAAGGAGGAAAAATTCGCTGAAGATGCCGAGGATTTTAAGCGATACAAACTCGTGAGTTCACACGCGTCTAACGAAACACAACAAAGAGAAGTATCTATTCAGAATTCCTCGTCAATGTTTCATGCCGTTAGCGGTTCTACAAACAGAGCAGCTGTGCACGAGAACCAGAATATGTACAAAAGTGAACAAGTCATGCAGATGAATGGTGGTCCGGTTCCACAGCCAAAGATACACCGAACTCGGATAGACGTTTCCTCACTGCCGCTTCCTCATACGGACTACGGGGGTCGGGATGTGTGCGAATATTCGGAGTCTAACAGGACTATCACCACACAAAAACTACAGTCTGAGCCGGTATTTCCAGCTCGGGTTCCGTCGCCGCCTAAACTCTCAGCCTCCGGAGCTGAGAAGGATATGATGGTTGTTCGAGGAAATATTCTAATAAAAAACACGATGGACCAGGGACTAGAACAATTTAATGATAACATAAACATGTTCAGTAAGGGCTTCAATATGTGTAAACAGAATCCCTTGTACCAGAGTGACGAGGACCTACAGAGACGGCTTCAGGAGGAGGAGGACAATGAGAGGAGGCGACAGATGGACCAGGAGGACAGGGAGAGGAGGCGACAGATGGACCAGGAGGTCGCCTTTGAAACGTGTGATCGATACTCCAAGACAAAACACGGTAGGTACAACACATATCGGTCATATCAAATTCACGTAACCGATTGACCTTGCGTGAACTTTTACATCTACAAAACGTTGAAATGTTTGATGTTTTAACTGACCACCGACCTATAGAACCTAAGAACTGTTGGGAAGTTCCTTAAGGTTTGTTAGGCCCAGTACATCACATATTGATACTGGGTTAAGATATATAGCATATCGTATATCGGAGGATGTGTTGTGGTTTATAGTTGTCAATGTAATTAAGTGGTTTGATAAACAAAACAAAATATCAGTAAATCTAATCTAGGTCAGTAACGATTCTGTTTCAACCTAAACACTCTGGAAAAACTGTTGAACGAAGCATCGTTTTATAGTTTTAATTTTTATCGTTGTATCATGTCGGCATCCCAGCAATGATACCCTGGGTTTTATCGTGTGATCGAGTTACATAACTTACTGTCGGTGTTTTATGTCGGTGTAAAGTTGAACGTTCTAACTACCTGTTTTACCAAAGCTTGTGTATACGGAACTATGACGGTATTATTGAGACTCTAGCAGTTGCAATTTTATGGCGGTGTATCCGAATGCAACATTTCTAGTGTTGAATCTGAAGATCTTGTTTTAAACGATGTATGGATATATCTGTGATTCCTTCTCTACTGAGAGCTAATGATACTGGGGGAAAGCTTTCCTTTAATTTCTTTCTAAATATATAAGGAATTTTCTGAAGCACGGAACGTTCGTGTAAAATAGGCAGATACAAACCGGAAATCGACACCGTATACCGTCGCTGGTTTTGTATATGTTTAGTAGAAAGTAAAATCACTCCGTCTAAATGTCGGTTTGATTTAATAAGAAACATTTAAACTGTTTACCTGTATAGATTCTAAACATTGATGCACATAAACGTCGGTATATTTCATATCCAGTCGACTTCGCGATGAAGATTGGAGTACCCGTATGTGTCGTGCCCTAGAGGTTTCCTATATAAATAATTGTGTAGGTATGGATGGGGTCAAACATCTGTCTCCCTAAATTATAACCGTGGAGATTACGACCGAGGTTTAGCCGCACAGTTAAGTACAATAATACACGGTCTCTGTAGCTATACAAAGGAGGAATTTACCTACTTAAATATACCGCCTATTTAGAAAGCTATAACATATATACTTTACACACGGAGTGGGGGGGTCACCTTATACAGGTGAGGTTGTCAGTCAGTCTGGCGGAACATTGGATAACGTATTTACCATTCAGTAATGGACATTGACGGGTCTTCTGGGAAAATCTCCACTCCATAATGAAGCCCACCATAGCCCCCTTTTTTGTCTGATACTATTTGTTCCTTCCTATAGGTACGTCCTCATTTCGTCTGTCTCTATCATATTTACCAACTTCATATTCTCCCTCTAATATCCCGTCACTTGTGCCCCCTCTAATTTGCTCCCTATCGATTATTACCCTTCCGTCGGTCCGAGATCTCCCCCTCCATTTTTCCCCTTTTGCTTACCCCTCCTCCACGCCCATTTGTAACCCATGTTTGTTTCTCACATTTGTACCATACTTAGCGCTCTCTCTTACCCATGAACATTTTCTGTAGTACTACCCCTGTATATAATCAGAACTGAAAATCGAGTCGTTATTGAATCACTATGGTAACCGATGTCTTTGAATTATTCCCACACGTATTGATCTAATTTTGCTTTATGACGAACCTAAACCTTTTGAGGACCTTTCTACACGTATTAACAGGTCCGTCCCGATTCACGCTTAAAAACCGGTTCCTTTATCGTTTTAAACCTGATCGTTAGTTAGTGACCAGCCTTAGTTTGGGTTTAATTTGGTTCGCTGTAAGATATTCAATGATAACATGATATACAGTAATGCTTTTAAGGCATCTAACAAAACTATACACAGTCGATAAGACAAGAGATTTAAAGAACATGAAGTGCAGTAACAATTTTAAAGACTTGCTCAAAAAGGCGTTCCCGAAGTCTAGAAAACAGTTGGACTTTAGCAGTCTCTTATCAACAGATATCTCGTCGTATTCCAACACACGTTACTTGATAAAGAAGATTAATTAATTAACCAGTTCTATTTGGGAATGAGAAGGTCAATATTGGGTATAACCACCATCTGGTTCAGTTCTCATGCCCGTTATTTCATAGCTTTGACCAGACGCCGAAGATTGTTCTTAGGGAACCTCTGTTACTCCTGAATTGACATTTTGTCTGAGTAGTCCCAATCATGCTTAACTGGGTTCATTTCTGGTGTCTGGCAGGTCATGGGCGGGTCTGTATCGCTTCTTGTTGAAGGTAGCACTAAGCAGGCTCTGTGTAGTTTAGCATCGGCATCCATTAGGATGGGCCGATCTACCAATGGGCGTCTACATGCTGAACAGACTAAGTTTCATCAATGAAATGCAAGCGAAGCTTACAGTTAACTCACAAAATAGTAACACCAATACCTTCAAATGTTGTTATGCCGAGAATGTGATTATGATGACAGACATCAAAGCGTGCCGCTTCTTGTCTGTATGTCATACCACCTTGAACCATTCCGAAAGCTTGTCATCGTTTAGAATTTGTCAATTTTTTAACGTAACAGATTTTAAATACGATACGGGTATGTGTATGATTTATCAGTAACACAGTGCTACACTGTAAACGCTGTTTATTCAGAGTAGGGGGAACTCCAGTATAATCCGTGTTATCGTCAAGTTGGGTGGTTCGCTTGGTGACATCCGGCTCCAAAGGAGACATTGTACAAAGTTTATTTTCACGGGAGGTAAGTTAAGTCTTGGTTGAAATATTCATCCTGAAATTTATGATATAAAGCACATGACTATTGGTAGAGGACTACTTGTATTACAATGATTTTTATGATCTCCTTAAGTATTGGTAGCCTTCTTTAGATACTGTAAACATGTTTAATTAGCGCAATCAAATTTCAGGCATTATCACTTTTTGGCAAAGAAACACAAATATTAATTTGCGTTTCAGTAATAATTGCTTCACATAAACAACACTCAGAAACAACAATAAGAGCAAACATATTTTATAGATAATACTCTCAACGGGAAACACGCTACTATAAGCCTACGGCTAAACAAAATACTTGTTTGTAGTTGTAAGTCAGATTTATACCACACAATACAATACAATACAACACAATACGATACAATACAAATACAATACAAATACGATACAATACAAATAGAATAGAATACAAATACAATACAAATACAATACAAATACAAATACAAATACAAATACAATACGATACAATACAAATACAATACAATACGATACAATACAACACAACACGATACAATACAACACAATACAATACAAATACAATACGATACAATACAACACAATACGATACAATTAAAAACACAATACAAATACAATACGATACAATACAAATACGATACAATACAATACAATACAATACAATACAATACAAATACAATACGATACAATACAATACAATACAAATACGATACAATACAATACGATACAATACGATACGATACAATACAATACAAGTACAATAGAAATATAATACAAATACAATACAAATATAATACAAATACAATACAATACAAATACAATACAATACAAATACAATACAAATACAATACAATACAAATACAATACAAATACGATACAATACAAATACAATACAATACGATACAATACAACACAACACGATACAATACAACACAATACAATACAAATACAATACAATACGATACAATACAACACAATACGATACAATTAAAAATACAATACAAATACAATACAAATACAATACGATACAATACAAATACGATACAATACAAATAGAATAGAATACAAATACAATACAATACAAATACGATACAATACAATACGATACAATACGATACGATACAATACAATACAATACAATAGAAATATAATACAAATACAATACAAATATAATACAATACAAATAGAATAGAATACAAATACAATACAATACAAATACGATACAATACAATACAATACGAATATAATACAATAATACAAATACAATACAATACAATACAAATACAATACAAATACAATACAATACAATACAAATACAATACAATACAAATAATACAATACAATACAAATACAATACAATACAAATACGATACAATACAATACAATACGAATATAATACAATACAATACGATACAATACAAATACGATACAATACAAATACAATACAAATACGATACAATACAATACAAATACAATACAATACAAATACGATACAATACAATACAATACGAATATAATACAATACAATACGATACAATACAAATACGATACAATACAAATATAATACAATACGATACAATACAAATACGATACAAATAGAATAGAATACAATACGATACAATACAAATACAATACAAATACGATACATTATATTTTCATTTTATCTAAATGTCACATATCAAAGTATAAAGTAATGACACATCGTTTACGTATTTGTATACATGACTGGAAGCAAATATTTACTTCGCAATAAGAAGCACAGCCTCATCCACATTCTAGATGACGTCATTTAGATTGTCCGCAGTAATTGTATCAATATAGGGATGTGATTAGGTTTCTAGCGTTTCCAATTTAGATTTTACCAACGTATACAGTATCCGCCGTACTAGTACTTTAGGTGTAGCTCGATCTCGGTAGTAAACATAATAACAGTGTACTTCTGTTTAGAGGTCTGTCTTCAACTTAAATTAATCGGAAACTCTCAGCATTCCGAACTTTTAACTTCTTTATTAGATAAGACGACCTATATATAGACTTCTCTGTACAACAATTTCCGCATCGCGTGATGCTGTAAGGGTATCGAGTTGTTTCAAGTTGTCGATTTTATCTGGAAGCTAACATACTTGTATCTACGATCACACATGAGAAAGTTTATTTATCAAACTTGTCTCTTGTTGATGAAACTAAAGACTGTTTACAGAAAAAAATTAATATTGTTTCG